GACATTCTTGGAACCAGGTCTGTAAGAGATGATGAGATTGAAGCGAGAAAAAAACAAAGACCATCTAGAATGACGTGGGTTGGATCTTTTAGCAGATTGGAGATAAGCCAGGTTTTTGTGGTCTGTCCAAACCAATACTGGATGCTCGGCACCCTCGAGCCAATGTCTCCATTCCTCCAGGGCGAGTTTAATGGCAAAAAGTTCTCGGTCTCCGACATCATAATTTTGTTCTGCCGGAGAGAGTTTGCGTGAAAAAAATGCACAGGGGTGAGTTTTCTGGTCTGAATCTGATTGTTGTGATAATACAGCTCCAACACTGGAGTCAGATGCATCCACCTCTAGGACGAACTGCTTAGAGGGATCGGGCTGGATAAGGATGGGTGCCCTGGAAAACAGATTCTTCAGTTTATTAAAAGCATTTTCGGCTTCAGATGTCCATTGGAATGTCTTCTTCACGGAAGTCAGAGCTGTGAGGGGTAGAGCTGTCTGACTATAATTTCTTATGAAGCGTCTGTAGAAGTTTGCAAACCCTAGGAACCTCTGGAGCTGCTTACGGTTTTCAGGTGTTGGCCAGTCCAGAACTGCCTTAATTTTGTCTTCGGATGGCTTCAACTGCCCGCCCTCGAGCACAAACCCTAGAAAAGTGACAGATGGTTGGTGAAATTCACATTTTTCAGCTTTCACAAAGAGTTTGTTTTCCAGTAGTCTCTGAAGAACTAGACGAACATGTTTCTTGTGGTCTGAGAGGTTCTTAGAGTAGATCAAAATATCATCGATGTATACAAAAACAAAAACATTAAAAAAATCTCTGAGGACGTCGTTGACTAGAGCTTGGAAGCAGGCAGGAGCATTTGTAAGACCAAAAGGCATGACCAAGTATTCAAATTGGCCTATGGGGGTCTTAAAGGCTGTTTTCCATTCATCTACTTCTCTTATTCTAAGGAGATGATAGGCGTTTCTTAAATCGAGTTTGGTGAACACTGTTGCACCTTGAACAGGTTCAAAAGCTGATGCCAGTAATGGTAGGGGATACTTATTTTTGACGGTTATCTGATTCAACCCTCTGTAGTCAATACAGGGTCGGAGGGAACCGTCCTTTTTTCCCACAAAAAAGAAACCAGCACCGAGAGGTGATGAAGATGGACGAATAATTCCAGCAGCTAGAGACTCATTGATATACTTCTCCATAGTTTCACGTTCTGGTTTGGAGATGTTAAAAAGTCTACTGCTTGGAAGGGGGGCTCCTGGTAGTAAATCAATGGCGCAGTCATATGGTCTGTGAGGTGGAAGAGACGTCGCACTGACCTTACTGAAGACTGGTGCCAGATCATGATACTCGGGAGGAACAGAAGTAAGGTCAGGAGAGTCCATCTCCCCCCTAACTCTAGGGGACTGAATAGTAGGAGCAACAGAACGAAGACATGACTCGTGACAGGAAGTGGACCAAGACTCAATGTGGCGTTCAGCCCAGATGATATGGGGGTTGTGACGTTCCAGCCACTCGAATCCAAGCACCAGGGGAGAGCATGCTGAGGGAAAAACAAAAAATGTTAGCGTCTCACGATGGTTGCCAGAGATAAGAAGTTCTAAAGGTTGTGTCTGATGAGTGACTTGATGAAGCTTCTTTCCATCGATAGCAGATACTCTGAGAGGCTTTGTTAATGGAACAGTCTCAGTCTTTAACTGCTGGACCAGATCTGAATCAATGAGATTTCTCTCACACCCAGAGTCGATGAATGCTGATAATGTGAGATTCTGGTTAGAAAAAAAAAGGGTTGCAGGCAACAATAAATGAGGAGTTTTCTCAGATCTTAGATGGCCCGTCAGACTCCTCAAATCCTCTGACGGGCCCTGGCTTTTGATTTAGCCGGGCATGACGCATTGAAATGGCCAGTCTCACCACAGTACAGACACAGATTTCCTCTAAATCTTCGTTGTCTTTCTTCAGGGGTTAGCCTTGTGTGTCCAATGTGCATGGGTTCGACCTCCGTTCCTTCTGAGGAAGAGAAGTGAGAGATTTGGACAGGGGCTGGAAGAGTCTGATTCTTAGTCTTTGGTTTGGTACTGGGTTCTGGGGATCCAGAAAAAACAGAAGCATTATTAAATGCAGGAGCAGAAACAGAAAAATTCAGGCTTTGCCTAGAGTTATTTCTAGTCCGAAGTCTATTATCCAATCTGATGGTTAATTGGATTAAATCCTCTAAACTAGCAGGTTCGTCGATTGTGGCGAGTTCATCTTTGAGGTTATCATTTAAAGCCTTAAAATAAGCACTCTTAAGTGCGCACTCGTTCCAGCCTGAGGCTGCGGCTTTAACCCAGAAGTCAATGGAGAACTCAGCCACTGTCGAATTTCCCTGCTTCAAACTTAGCAGGGCTCGGGAATCAATAGTTTTGTCTGAGTCATGGTTGAAAACTTGAGAAAACTCAGATATAAATTCAGAAAAAGTACATGAAAAGCTGGACTCAGAAGAGAACCTTGCCTCTGCCCATTCAAGGGCTCGTCCAGTAAGTTGAGAGATAATGAAGGAGATTTTCTTCCTATCATTCGGAAAACTGACGGGGGAGTGCTCGAAAAGCAAACGACACTGAAACAAAAATCCTTTACAATCCTTTTGGTTACCTGAAAATCTTTCAGGAGGACTCGGGCGGAATTCCGGAAATGACAAGGCGGAAGTGGCTCCAGTACAGGAAGTACTGCTGGTGTGGCATTAGCATTCCTCAGGTAGCCAACGTATTCCTGCAAAACTTGGTTCTGGTGTTCAATATGAGTGTTTAACTCAAGGAGGGTGTGCGCATGTCCTTGGATTTGGGCAGCTTGCTCCTCAAGCCTCCTCCGGAGGTGATCTGCTGGGTTTTGTGTTTGGCCCCAGTGTTCTGTCCTGATTGGCTTAAGAAACTTAACCCACATGAAGAACACCACTGGAAGCAGAGTAAAAGTTTAACAGAGTTTATTGAAAGGTTTTCACAAAATAGAACATGAACTGGTTCAGGCACTGGTCCGGGGCTGGATTCACTGATGTCTGCAGAGACGGATAGTTTGATTAGCCAGGCAGACGGATGGTTAGTTGAGTTTAGATTATTCTGAGTATACCTTGAAGAGGTCCAGACTAATCTTTGTGAGAGAGGGAACCGGTTGGGTCCAGAGGCAGTTGGTTCAGCAGAGTGCTCAGCAGCAGCAGCGTCTAGCTTCTGACTTGTGAGTGGCAGACCTTGATTTGAGTTTCCAGCTCTTCCTTGAGAGCAACAGGAGGAGTCCAGATTGAAATCTTCAGGTTTGGCTCCTTTGGCAGGCAGGCAGGTTTGCATGGGAAGCTCGTCCAGAGCTTCTAGACTTAACGGGTTTCCTGAGAACAAGAAGACAGAGGCAGGTTAGAATCAGGTTTCTCTCTAGAGACAACTAAGATTCTTTTTCAATAACAGAGGCTCAGGTTCGCTAACCAAACTTGGTCAACACTGCGGCGTTGAAGGAAGGTCTGGCTGCTGCTTATGTAGGAAGGTCTCCTGATGGGCTGACAAGCTTCAGGTATGGTGGAGGCTCCAGCCCAGGAGACCCACGGCGCACTCTGCTGGAGAAAGGTGGTAAATCTCCAGATCCCAACACTGGATTCCTGACATACACTATATTGCCAAAAGTATTTGCTCACCTGCCTTGACTCACATATGAGCTTAAGTGACATCCCGTTCCTAATCCATAGGGTTCAATATGACGTCGGTCCACCCTTTGCAGCTAGAACAGCTTCAACTCTTCTGGGAAGGCTGTCCACAAGGTTTAGGAGTGTGTTTATGGGAATTTTTGACCATTCTTCCAGAAGCGCATTTGTGAGGTCGCACACTGATGTTGGACGAGAAGGCCTGGCTCTCAGTCTCCGCTCTAATTCATCCCAAAGGTGTTCTATCGGGTTGAGGTCAGGACTCTGTGCAGGCCAGTCAAGTTCATCCACACCAGACTCTGTCATCCATGTCTTTATGGACCTTGCTTTGTGCACTGGTGCACAGTGATGTTGGAAGAGGAAGGGGCCAGCTCCAAACTGTTCCCACAAAGTTGGGAGCATGGAATTGTCCAAAATGTCTTGGTATGCTGAAGCATTCAGAGTTCCTTTCACTGGAACTAAGGGGCCAAGCCCAGCTCCTGAAAAACAACCCCACACCATAATCCCCCCTCCACCAAACTTTACACTTGGCACAATGCAGTCAGACAAGTACCGTTCTCCTGGCAACCGCCAAACCCAGACCCGTCCTTTAGTTTGCCAGATGGGAAGCGCGATTCGTCACTCCAGAGAACGCGTCTCCACTGCTCTAGAGTCCAGTGGCGGCGTGCTTTACACCACCGCATCCGACGCTTTGCATTGCACTTGGTGATGTATGGCTTGGATGCAGCTGCTCGACCATGGAAACCCATTCCATGAAGCTCTCTGCGCACTGTTCTTGAGCTAATCTGAAGGCCACATGAAGTTTGGAGGTCTGTAGTGATTGACTCTGCAGAAAGTTGGCGACCTCTTCGCACTATGCGCGTCAGCATCCGCTGACCCCGCTCCGTCAGTTTACGTGGCCTACCACTTCGTGGCTGAGTTGCTGTCGTTCCCAAACACTTCCATTTTCTTATAATACAGCTGACAGTTGACTGTGGAATATTTAGGAGCGAGGAAATTTCACGACTGGATTTGTTGCACAGGTGGCATCCTATCACAGTTCCACGCTGGAATTCACTGAGCTCCTGAGAGCGACCCATTCTTTCACAAATGTTTGTAAAAACAGTCTGCATGCCTAGGTGCTTGAATTTATACACCTGTGGCCATGGAAGTGATTGGAACACCTGATTCCAATAATTTGGATGGGTGAGCAAATACTTTTGGCAATATAGTGTAGATATAAATTGAAGAAGATACCCGTTATCAGCAAACCTTTTGATTCACTCTAAATTTTCATTGTATGCTGAAAATATTTGCAATTTATAAACAAAAAAGTAGATAATGTGTAAACCATCTTTTTCTTTATCACAGATTCGAGTTATTGCAATAGTGTTGCGCAGTGAGAAAATAGACCTTTGGTGCCACCTTCTCTGCCGGGATCAGCTGCAGATGTCTAAAGCCATCATCAGCATCCACAGTGACCACTTTCGCTTTCCCTACGGGACAGCCGACATCATGTGTCAAATCCCTTCAGGCTGTGAGATACCTTCTCATGTTGCCATCACCTCATCTGCCATCAAAAACAAAGGTAATGAACAAAATAAAATCTAAGCTATACTCATGACAAACATAATGATGCAATTAAGGGAAGATTCTGGGCTTTTTTTAGGACTTCTAAATTGTACAATAACACCACTGACAAGAAAATAATTATGTCCTAAAGAGATTTTCAGAAAGCCTTGGAGCATTAGATTTTGCAAATTTTTTTCATACCAGTTGAGTATCTTAAACCTGCCAACACCTCATCCTTTTGCTTAGGGAAGTCGGTTGTTATGGAAAGCATTAAAAAAAGCGTGAGCAGATACTTCTGACGTGCAGACTCTTATTTACAACGGCAAATGCAATTGAGAGAGAGAGTAGCTTTGCTTTATTTGCTGCAATGAGAGAGGGACAAAATTTGTTTTATGATTTTTAACATAGAAAGTACACCTCAAAAAGGCATCAGGGCAGTTAGTTCATCAGGCTTATGATCCTACTTTAAACTATTCTGTAGTTGTTCCAAGCAGAAGACCAGTCTGACTTGTCCAGTCAGAACAGTTGCCTTGTGCTGAACTGGTAACTGTGATTTCTTGAGTTTATTATTTCAGAGTTCTTCCCAATAGCTGTTTGCCCCATTATAATCATGTGTTTTATGTGTTTTCAACATGTTTTAATGCAATATGCTACAAATGGATTTAATTAACACCATTGAGCCTTCCTTGTATTAATAATAAACAGTTTCACCACAGTCAACTAAGAAAATATTTTAGAGGAGTGATTAAAGCTCTGTCACTTTTCCTTGTATACATTTTCTTTGGTTTCTTTGTTGAGCCAGTGGGGTGTAACACCCAGTGGTGTAGTGGTCCCTGGAGAAGTGTGTTGGGATTTTATATTATATGCCAATCCAGGTTTGATGCTATATTTATCTTGTGAATAACGGTAGGGATGGTAAATATCCAGTTTAATCAGATATTATTTTAGCTGTTATATATTGTTTATGAACACACGCCCTACCTAGCTGTGTGTAAATAATAAACAATAAATAAAAAAAGAGTGATTCGAGCTCAAATCATGGTCAAACAGTTAATTGTTCACATACATGGAATAAAATCACCACAACTTCTGTTCAAAATACAAGAGTTTATTAACAAAAACATTCAGTTCCAAGTCAAACATATTTCAGTTTAAAACTTTTAACTAAAACTTGTGAAATTCAAGTAAACCAAACTACTATGTACAAAGAGGAAGGGGAAACCTGGTTGAAAACCATATTACAGTTTAAGATGGATTTTGTGTTTGAAACCAAAGTTTATCTGGAGGAATTTGGGATATGATTAAATTAGCTTTTCACTAATTTAGAGAAATTGGAATGTTTTCAGACCAATTCACAATGCAAATCCATAAGGTGAATAAAACATTATTTGGCAAATAATGTTTTATTAAATGATTTGCTTAATCAGGAACCAATAACCTTTAGTTACCGTAATGACTCTTTACCCTCTTTGAAATAGCTAGCAGCGAATAGACATCAGGATTTAATCCCGAAAAGACACTTAATCCCAAATTGCCTGCAAATCTGTATATATCGTTGTCTGAATGAATCCACAATGGAAAGAGTGATTGGATGACTGTGGCTATAATGTAAAGTGCTACAAGTGTTTGGTATGAAAAAAAAAAAAAAAAAAAAAGAATTTTTAATTTTTTTTCTTTCTTGCTTTTGTAACTTAGAAAAAGATGATCTCGAGTTTCTGGAGATTAACAATCAAAAAGCCCAGAGCAACTCCTTTCCTTATAACTTCACCACCTGTTTTTCTGCCATGTATAACTTCACCAATGTCTTGCAGGTAACTTTGCATCACACAAACAATATGAATAATAATTAATGTTTTGTTGAATGAACTGATAAGAAGAAAGGCATACATTCTCTTTATTCTTAATTATTTTATTACATAGTAACATCCTTCAATACAGAATACATTTGAAAGCAAACTTTGTTATATCTCTAAGCTAAATCTTTTCAGAAAATGGGTCTTTCAAAATTTTCTCTGTGCTGCAGCTGGTGCAGACTTTGGAAATGCTTCAATTACTGGGAGTGAACAGAGTCGTGATATACAAAACAAACTGCAGTACCGAAGTTCAGCGTGTGCTGGAATATTATTCAGGCAAAGGTACATTGTTAATATTAATATTTGTGTATGTCCTTAAAAACACCTTATTATCACTCCACATTTTTATTAAATAGCAATTTAAATTAAAGTACAATAACATTGTGAACCTCAGCATTAAAAAGCTCAGCTTACTACTTTAAAGTTTAACCCACACATACATATAAACACAGCCCTGGCTCCAGACAATTGTCTAAAAATGCTATGAAATTTATACGTGCCAAGAGACCCTGGGGAGCAAGCAAATTTTTGTCACCAGCGATGGGTAATTATTAGTTAAGAGGGTGTGGTCAGGACATGGCAGTGAGCTTAGCTGAGTTATATTTAGGTAAGGACAGTTAATAAAAATAAATTATTCTTCAACAGGATGTAAGAAAGCACATACAGTTAGTCACAGTAAGAGAAAACATGCTACACTGAAAACAAAACTGGCAAAGCATCTATAAGCAAAGGTTTTGATGGCAGCAGAGCAGCTGATATTTAATTCACGGTGCAGACTGGACTCACATGGTTCAGAGGCTGGACAGAAAAAAAGCATTGCATGGAGGTGAACTGGTAACTCCACATCTCACACCTCTGCCTAAGATAGTCTTAGTAATTTTGGGGTGACTTACCATGGATAAAGAAAAAAAACATGTAAATTCAGCACTCATAGGATTAAAACCAAGAATTTCTTGTTACAGGGCGACAGTCCCAACAGCTGTACATATATACATGCATGACAGGGTAACAGCTTCAACCAAATCCTTTCTGTCTTTTTTCAGGTTTAGTTGAGGTGATTCCTTGGTCTATGTCCAAGTATCTCAAGGTGTCTAGAAGAGCGTTTTATGATAGAGACCCTGCTGACATCCACTACTTTGCTCAGATCCCTGCTCTCAATGACTGCCTTTACAGATACATGTACCAGTCCAAATACATGGCCCTACATGATCCCGATGAGCTCATACTGCCACAGTCAGTCAACAGGTAGGGTTTTTGTTTCACTTTGCTTGGACTTTATACGGTAAAATCTTTCATCCATTTAAAACTCAGAAGATAGTTGTTAAGTGGAATACTCCTGAATGTACAGTGTGTAATAATAACAGGGATCTACTGACAGAAATGTAATATATTATCCACGTGTATGTTATCATAACCTATGAACTGAACTTCTTAGTCTTTATATTTGCCTTGCCTTAGAAATTGCTATTTATACAGCGATTATATAGTAGACAGTTCTATTTTGTGGAGGCAGACGTCTACGGCAGAGCAGAGCAGACAATCTAGTGACTGTAGAGATTCAAATTATGCTTGAATGTGAGTGTGGCAAGTTAGGCCTATATATAATCCTACACAGACTAATGAAATACTATATATAAAATTATCTATGTAAACTATTCTTACACCGGCCACCGTCTCCAAGTGCCTTGTTCTTATGAAGATGACTAATTTGAAGCACTGGTTGTTGCGTTTTGATGAGGTTTCTTTTCTGAGCAGACTTGCATCTTTATGCTCTTCTTGGTCCTATCCAAGAACTTTTTTCAATACAAAATGTCAGGAATAGCGTTGAGTTCCAGGTTTTATACAGTAGCCCAATAAAGCCTTGCTTTTGTTTTGAAAACATGCTAATTGAAACAGACGAAGAGGTCCACCCCCTGGAATGGAAGTCGTTTGACTTTGTTTGTTAGCCTGCCATGCCACATACCCATCTTAGTGTCAGAAGTGTCCGTCATTGTTTTTAATTTTCTTTTTTTGGAATTACTATGACCTGGATGACTGAGAATCTTCACCAGCATAGCGACTTAGAGAGCCTCATAACCAGGACAAGTCGGCCAACTATGCTGATCTCTTGAGCTTAGGAACCACAGAGCTAGAGGCGCTCAGGAAAAGAGCTGAGGAGCACAGCAGTAATTCGGAGAGGTCTGCCAGCAAACAATAACCATGGCCTGGAAGAGGGCTAGCAAGAGGCCAACAGCTTGGATAGACATAGGACTGCTAGGAAACATTCAAGCCTGCAGGCAGACTGAGCAGCGTAGCAGAATGAGAGAAGGCATCCGCTGGCCCATGTATGGGCTGGGGGTAGGACATGAACCAGTCCTTCATGGGCTAAATTAAAATGTTTTTTAAGCCACTCACCTCCTGTGGAGTAAAAAATGTTTAGATATGTCTGTTCTCAGCCTCACAGGCTCCAAATGAAGGTCATGAGAGATAAGAATGAGTTACACAGCTTCCTTCATGGCATGAACCGGAGGACTTTTGTTTGGAGGAGATTCATCTGGCCAGTAAAAGATATATTAACCTAACTGCAAATGTTCAAGTGTGAGAAAGTTCTTTATGCAGCGGGTGGGTTGGTTCCCCTGGGAGCAGTGTGTGTTGGGATTTTTGTAAGGTATAAATGTATGTACTAAGGTTGTCTCAGTCAGAGCCTGTCTCTCTGTCTGAGGACATTAAATAAATTTCAACCTTATCTCTGGTAAAATGCCTCTGTCTCAGCTCCGTAACTCCCCACTACAAAGAGCATTCCCTGCTTTATCCTTTGTCAATATTATTTTCTCTATATTCCATTGTGATTTTAAAAAGCTTGTCTCCGTAGCCTACTTCACTAAAACAGCGGTCAAATCATAATACTGTCATGATGCTTTTAAGGGATCTGACCCACATGCAGAAAACCACTCAGACAACCAGGGGAATTTTAACAGGTTTATTGATGAGGACAACAGTAGGTGGAATCTTGAACTCAGAGAGAGCTGTTGAACCAGAACTAGAAATAGAAGGGAAGTTCACAGCGGTTAGTTCAATGGCCGTAGGAAACAGAATAGAGTTCTTGAGCATGGAGGAAAAAGGGACTCACGTAGGAGGGGATCTCATTTAAAGCCTTGAATCCAGAATGTGTGAGTTCTCCAGAGGGAGAGCAACTTGTTGGAGGGCGGACAGGTTGGTGGGGTTGGACCCTGAGGAGTATGAGAGCAGACTGCCACTTAGATTTCCAACAGTACTTGAACAGATCATGTGGAACTTTTCCCCAGCTCAGTGTGAACACAAGATATCCTTCCGGGGGGAGAAGGCCAAAACTTCCAGTCAGCTGGAAGGCTTCCTGCCAAAAGGCAAACACAAAAAACACGGTTAGACTCAGAGAAACAAAGCACAGGTTAGACTCAGCTAATCACGGCTTGGCTAGAGTACCCCAAACTGGCAAACACTGTAGTGGCAGTCAATGGCTCAAATACTCCCCGGTGATGAACCAATGAGCCGCAGGTGTGCAGGAGGACCAACGAGGACAGGGCGCCACCTGGTGGTGGAGGGAGAGACAAACACAAAAAACCCACACAAAACTGGATTCCTAACAGATACTTACTCATCTCCTTTTTTTTTTTTTTATCCCTGACAAGATTAATAACACAGTTACACAGTGTAGCTTTAAATATCTTATCATATAGTTTTATTTTTTGCCCTTGTTCCTGTTCATAAATTACAAAATGCTAACTTCATTTGTCTTTGCATTTTACACCCAAATAATTAAAGGAATATCATTTTTTTCGTCCTTCTTCTCTACAGCTGGTTGGAGTTGCTGCCAATGCTGGAAAAGAAACACGGTGCTGACAGTTGTTACAATTTTGAGACCCACGTGATCCCCAGTAATTTTGTGAAGCCTCCACCAGAACCGGTGACCCTGCCCCCACAGGACCTATGGCAGAAGATATCGGGAGAAAACATCCTGACTCACCTCTACAGAGAGCCCTTCCACCCTTTCTGGGGTCGTCAGAACTATAAGATCATTATCAACCCACGAGCTGTTTTTGAACTAACTGTCCATGGAGTGTTAAAGTCGAAGAAATCCTGTGCCTGGGTTGATAGCAACATAGCCCGGATTTATCATATTAAGTAAGCTACAACTTATACTGCATCACGTGGATCGCTGTTTTCATACCTAATAATTCTTACTGTGCTCTCCACAAGGGATACCAAAGGTCAATAAAATGTAAAAAATTTAAATGTAATAGAATAAAATAAAAATGCTATAACACTATATAATAAATAAATAAACAAATAAATACAGAAACAAATAAATAAATACAAAAATTAAACACTATTTAAATCAGCATGAATTGAATTTAGACCTAGCTTTTTTTTGGCACTGTTATATTGAGAGTATGGATATTGCTATGTTGATTAATGAAAGAAATCTAAAATCAGCCAAAATATCCCACCCTTAATCTGTACCTCTGCTTTCCATTTGAAGACCTCGAGATCTCACCGAACTGAAGCCTGATCAGATGATTTACGATGGCAGACTGCTGAGCTACAGCTCTCGTCTTTCATCTGCTGTCAATACTGTGCTCAGACAGACTGGAATTCTACCGGTAAGCAGCACATACCTTTCCTCAGGGATGCTTTAAGTCAAGCATGGTGACATAATTTACCTTCTGATGCCAGATCAAGTTAGCTTATTGAGCCTTTGCTGTCCTAGTCCATATATTGGCACTCCTTCCCTGTATCTCAGCAGAAGGAGATGAATAAAACATCAAATTGTATAGAAAAGAGGAAAAGAGGATTTTTTTAATTAATTAAAAAAAGACTGTTGGTGCTGGAAGCTTCATGCTACATTGTTAGCACATTGAAAATGCTACCTCTTCTATTGTATCATTGTCTAATCTCATTTTGTTTTATAAAACTAATTTTAACAAATGTTTTTGTTTTAAGTTTGTATACTTGTTTATGAACGGTTATTTGAAAAGTTAGTTTTAAAACTGCCCAACTAACAGGTGTGCATGCCTGTTAGGACATACATATAACATTGTTAATTGCCGTTGTATAAACAGCAGAGTTAACTGACCAACGCACCAGTTTCTTAACCCCCTTTTAAACCATTTTTTTCAGTACCACCCTTTACATATAAACAAGAGCAGTGTGGCTTTAACTGATGCCTCACTTTCTGTATCTGCAGGCTTCAAGCAGCAGTTGATCTAAAGCCAAAGCCATGGATAAATGAGGTCAGACTGCTATGCTCCACGCCCACCTTACATCCTGCTGTGCTCAAAGAGACTGGACATCTGGCTGCAGGGAGCATGAACTAGACTCTATGGACCATTGTTATATAAACCCACCTAGATTATCATATCCATTACATCTACAGTCAAAATGTGTATAGTTCCTTAGAATAATGGTTATTATTTTGTGATATTAAAAGGTCACATATATAAATTGCCAAGCAATGTGAAATTACTAGTAGGAAGGTTTATGTTGCTATAGGTTTAGACTGCTGGAGGATATAGGGTCCCCTTTTCTTCATTTTGCTTCATTCTATCTTTATTCTGTCATTCTGCAGTATTAATTAATTCAACCTCTTTATTTATGCTCTCTCTGCTATTTCTAATCATAGTACCTTCATCTGGTTTGTTCCTGTTTTGCTATGACACCATCCCTGAGAAAAATAGCAGATGTGCTGCTGCCATTAATGCCTTTGTCTATAGATGTTGGAGCTTGGCCTGCTTTTTTATTGCAGTCATGTTTCTCTAACTGTGACTACCTGGATGTGCTCTCTTTCATCCTCTGACATGGGAGCTGGCTCGGAGCTCGTCTGCCTGGCTGTATGTTCCCAGGGCCACCTATGGAGCTGGTGACAGTTACCTTTTGTATCCCTCTTCCTTACCGTATGTTTGCTTCTGCCTCCTTTAATCCCAGTCAGCCTCTGTAAATGGACGCTCACACTGAGCCTGGTTCTGCTGGAGGTTTCTTCCTGTTAAAATCCCTCACACAAGCATGCTTAGTGTGAGGGATTGCTTTTGAGTCAATGAGTCGATGCAATCAGCTGGTTTTCATTATATAGAAAACTTTGAACCAATCAGACTTTATTATCTGGTTAAATTGTCTCTGTAAAGTGCCTTGAGATGACATGTGTTGTTAATTGGTGCTAAATAAACTGAATTTAATTGAAAATTGTAACTAGTTTAAGAGTATAAAGATTAGGCAGAAGAAATGCAATACTTTTTCCTTTATGTGTTTGAAAGCAATCCTTGGTAAACCCATGTAGGTTATTGCTTTATTTAGTGGTTTAACAACATCTGGCACAAAAACTCTAAACTCTTATAAGTATACTGGAAGATGTTCTTTTTCTACGTGGATCATCAAAATGAGTGGTCCTCCTAACTGTCAATCATCCTGGTTATATTTTTAAGGAGGTCCTATGTGTTCGTCCCCATTTTCACTTACAGGTGGTGAGTCAGACGTCAGACAAATCTTCTTTTGTGTTAAAGTAACTGAATATGATTAAGTAAATGCCAAAAGCAGTTGCATTATATTTTTAAGTGTAGGCATCCCATCACAGGAGCAGGTACAGGGTTTCGCATGTGCACTTTTTTTTTAAGTGTAGAGGTTGGGTCTTTTCAAAAATTTGCGAAGATCCTCCACTTTATTTTTAAGTGTACATAATTACTCATTTGTAATTAAACTTTCCTGCTTCTTTATAGAATGGGAAAGAACTGCCATCTGATATCTGATATGTTTCTGACATTTAAATTCATGTTTATATGGTGACCTGGTTTAGCTACTGTTTGCTTAGTCTGTCCCAAAGTGTTATACAGTGAGAAAAATATGATTCTATGCTTAAATTGCTGGGCTTTAGGAGGTATATATGGTTTAAATAGTTGAAATGATTTTTTTGTTTTGAAGTCTTTTCTTTTGCAAAGGTTTAGGTTGGAATCTACTGCAGCTCCTACGAATAAATTGACCTCTTCTTTCTCTATTCAATCACATCTTACTTAAAAGCTTCTATCTTTTTTCTCTTTTATGAGAAACACATTGCGATAATCTTTTTATACTTCAAAGTTAGATTATTATTTTTAAGCCAATAGGCATTTATTTTCTTCCAGGGTTTGTCTCGATCCAACTCTGGAGTTCTCTCACAGACGAGATGAGATATTTCTCTTCTCAAAATGTAATGAGATGATTGATAGGAGTGTATTTTAAGACACTGTTCACTATTTTCAAGATATGATCTAAACTAAGTTATTGCACTATTGACAAATTACATTTTAAATGTTTATTTAGAGTATCTACTTCTTCCATAACTTTGCCTGCATGTGATGAAGTGACCTGAAGAGACCATTTTATCATCTTCAGCTTTTGCTTTGTTTGTGTCGCAAAATATTTTAGGTTTCAAAGTGATAAACTAGTTATTTAGCAACTGTTTTTCATTCACATCTGCTTTTCATTAAAACATGTTTAGGAGCACGGATAAAGAAAAAATAAGCATTTCACAATAGCAGATAAAACTTCTACTGTCCACTTATGAGGGAATTGATTTGTGCTGATTAACAAGTATGTCAAATGTGTTATTGTTTTTCAATTAAAGGCCTGTATTTTTTTTTTTAAATAAATGTACTTTATCTAAATGAATAAAACCTTGGCTTTAGATTTCCTAAGCAACATGATAATCTTACCAGTCTCCATAAAATCTATTTTTTTCCTGCAAAAAAACACAGATTTCATAATGCCTTTGTAAATGTATAGGTTAACAATCTGTAGCTAGTTCCTCAACAGAGTGGATATATAAATATATACATTTATTTTCTATGTTAGTTCTGCCATCACTACTACACTTATAATATTCATTAATACTAATCTTTTGGTTTTGTTTTCCTGTTTAGTTGGAGCAACAACATGCTTCCATAGTTAAGTTTTTTCTTCTGCAACAGTAATTATCAATAAGTATAATGTTTATGCTTTATTCAACAGTTTTACAACTTTATTAATCCTGTTAAAAAACATATCTGACACTATTTTTTTAAACAATTAATTTATGATAAACTTTCAATACAGGTTACTTTTTCATCAGATTACATCTCACAGTAACAATAACAAATTAAAAAATAAAATTTTGAAATTATCATCTGAAAATTCAGTAATTAAATTTGTCTCCATGAATAAATTCAAAATACACTTTGTCAGTTTGTGCATGCTCATAGAAATCCTCATATACTGGGTCCTACTAATACTGGAATATATAAAGGAGAAAAATACATGATTACTCTGAATGAACAGGAATAATCCATCACATTTTTGTCATTTCAACCTGTGTGGTTCATCAGGGCACAGCTTCTCTTTCCTCACTCTCACCTGCACCTCCTACTCCTTTCTACGGGAAAAGTAGAGAGTAGAAAGCAGCTACATTAGGGATGCAGAACATTCAGTATAAAGAGTAGCAGGGAAGTCAGTCTAGTCAAGCAGCCGCAGAGACCAACCCACTTCCTCTCAGCTGCAATCTTAACATTTAGGGGGAAAAAACGGCCAGTGAAAGAAATTCCAGGCTGTGTTACACTCACAGCACTGCAGAGATTTTAAGAAGTTTTCTGTTTTCTCTGCAGGTCACATTCGGTTCATGTTAAAAACAAACTGCTTAGTTATAATTGCTTCATTCCTGCATAAAAACTGCAAATATGGTTTTACTGACGTTACATATCAACTGCTGCCCAATTTCTAGTAACAAACTCTGGAGGTGAATGTCTCATCTGCAAAAAACAAAAATCTGAAAAAAGAAAAGATATTTAGACCATCACTGAACACCTTTAGACAAAACCAGTGACAGAAACTGCTCTGTATAAAGAGCACTTGACTACACGACATAATGATGATCAGTGAATTAAAACCCCAGACTTCTGCAGTCATACTGGCTTCAGTCATACTGATCTCAAAGCAATGAATAGACAAAACTGTCCAGTTGTTAACTGGCTGATAGTAAAACATGAGATCCAGGAGGAACAATGCGCTTTTGGTCCCGGCTGCCGGCTGGACCAGCTCTATACCCGCCATCGAGTGCTTGAGGGTTTGTGGGAGTTCACCAAACCAGTCCAAATGTGTTTTGTGGATCTGGAGAAAACGTTCAACCGTGTCCCTCATGGTGTCCTGTAGGGGATGCTTCGGCAGTATGGGGTCCAGGGCCCTCTGTTAAGGGCTGTCCGTTCACTGTATGACTGCAGCAGGAGCTTTGCTTTACCGGCAGTCAGACCTAAAAGTGTCCTGTCTGGCAATGTGGCAATAAGAATAACTGTCTTGATGCCAAAAAGTGAGCCCAACAGATTTTACTTTCACAAGTAGAGCAGTAGGGCTATCGCCATAGTGTTCTACTTGATTTATGCATATAGATTTTATTACAGTATTACAGATTATATGGACACTGCAATTTAAGTAGAACAGGAAAATAGAAACAGAAAAAAGGAGAAAAGATGAAAGAAGAGGAGATAAAAGGGAGACAATGATAACATGTCTTCAGTCTGCTTCATCACCTGCAAAGAGATGTAAAAAGAACAGCACAACCCACGGATATAGTATAAGAGATACAATAATGTAACTCCTTGATACAATCGGCGAAGTATAAGTAGTATTAATAGTACCTGAGGCCAAGCGCCTATAGTTGTTTGTGAGATTGCACTTGTGCATGTAAAGCTTATCCAAAGGAAAAATGCTCAATAGTTGTTGTAAAGAGCCAGGCATGTCCTAATGGGACCTCGTGAAAGGCCCAGGACATGCTGGAGGGACTAGGGCTGCGATGGAATTTATGAAGGCCACATTCGAAGGCTGATTACATCATAGTGTTGTGCCGAGATCTGGTCGGATTACAAGACTCCTCGTTATGCAGCCTACAAATGCGTCCTTCTTTTTGCAACAATTTGAAGGATGGGTCAATTGTATCCTATCTATCCTTGGTTCTCCCAGGAATCATTGCAAGACCAATCAAGGCGGCTGCTCCGTGGGAAATGTTTTAATTACATCCCCCAGTTATGTTCAACCCCATTAACTATCTTTTTTCAATTATCATTTTTAAAGTGAACATGCTACAGTTCACTTTGGAATACTTTTGGTAAAATTTTCTTTAAAAACCTATGGTAATTTATCTGCCTATAGCTTGTTACTATGATTTGGCATCAGTTTATGGCTGCATTAGATCCCATTTGTTGCTGTTTTTCATTCATCATTAATTTGGGTGTCTTCATTCATTTGGGTCTTTGTTCTTGCTAAATAGTAATTGAGTATTTTTGTCACCATGTTATCTAGGAGTATTAATACCTCCATTATTAATATAATGGAGGTATTAATATAATATATAATATATTAATATATAGAGATCGAGATGGAGAGAGATTAATGGACATCTACTGGGCTGGGCTGTAATTGCAGTATCCTATCTCTTAGGGAGAATCCTCACTTGCACTTACCTCATACTGAGTGGACTTCATTGTGGAGGGAACTCAATAGAGTGTTCTCAGAACCAAGTAAGAGAAATGGGACTGGGCCTAAGAGGCCAATGTTCCCGGTCCGGCCTTGATTTAATCGCTTGATGTTTAAGTTAATCAAACACGGTAAAAGGTGGTGCCGGTGAGATCCAGCTTACAGTATTTTTACCTTAGCTACTTTGAGCTGAAACATCACATATTCTTAGTCAATTACATCTACAGCAGCCAGAAATCTGAACTAAACAGCAAATCCCCAAAGCTGCTCTGGATCTGATTGGTCCAACAGCTAGGGTGTCAGATCATAGCAGATTGATCTGTTTGAGTCAACAAATGAACTATTTCAAAGATTTAGAATAACAAGAAGAATTAATTTTTACTTGACTTAGTTGTTTTCTTTGTTTGTCTTTTATTTCTCTATTTCCTTCCCTCCTTCCTTCCTTCCTTCCTTCCTTCCTTCCTTCCTTCCTTCCTTCCTTCCTTCCTTCCTTCCTTCCTTCCTTCCTTCCTTCCTTCCTTCCTTCCTTCCTTCCTAGTCCCTTGTGGGACTCAAACC